AAAGTAAAAACAAATGGAAGAAAAAAAATGTTTCAGAAATGAAAAATAAATTATAAGGTGTCCAAGGAAAAATAAATGTGAATGAAAATAAAAAAGAAATAGTGAAAACCAGGAAAACAACCGACAGAATGAAAACAAAGCAGTAAAAGAGTAGGAGAGAAAGCCACTGAAAAAGATGAGAAAAAGGCTTTATATATGTAATTATATAGAACATGTATATGTAAATTACTGGAGTCCCTATAGAAGGAAACAAAAGGAACATAACTAATATTTAATACCATAATCCATGAAAGTTATTTCTGGAAATGAGAAAACTTAAGTCTACATATGAGAAAGCCCAGCTAAATTAGTCAGAAACAACCAGCTTTGAAAATTAGCCTAGTTAAAAAAAAAAAAAAGGACAATAAAAAATGGCAATGCCTTTAAGCAAAGAAAAGTAACAAATTCTCTATAAGGAAAAGAAAATATCAGCAGAATATTTTTAAGAAAGTCAATAAAGAAAATGTACGCCAAGGATTTCATGTCTAGTCAACCTGTCATTCAAGTGACAAGACCATAGAAAAACAGCTTGCAATGGGCAAGATCTCAGGGAATACTGTCCCCAGGAGCCCTTCCTGAGGAATATATTAGTGGGTAAGTTTTAAGCAAACAGGAAATAAGTGGGTAAATATCAGCAAACAAACTGGTGTGAATATTGAGTAAGATTAATTTTAGAATTTACTCTAAAACAAGGTGACACAGCATGGGTGCAAGAGCAGTGTGTATATGCATATTCTAACGAAGCAGCAAGAATACAGAAAGAAGAAAAGTGAGGAAAAGGAATAAGGGAAAGTGCAATAGGAGCACTGGCCTAAAGGTAACAGATAAGATTCAAGGATGCCATTTAAAAGGTCAAGTAGAAATGAGGGGGAGTAAAAGCATTATAAAACATAAATACAAATGTAACCACTAGGGAAAAAAAGACAATCCTTCAAAAATTTAACAATAATAACTTTAGTCACAATTCTCCCTAATATTCTATACATCTCACATAAGCCATCAGCCTTTGTTCTGAACTACCTTTCAAAGATGTTTTGTACAGCATACAGTCTTGAAAGACAGAGAGAGAACGTGCCTATGGAGCAGAAGGCAGTTTTATTACACAATGAGGATAATAAGAGTCAATGGTCTTACTCTTGGGCAAAGTTTGGTCAGATGTTCTATAAGGTCCTTAAAGAACTTTTAAACTTGGAGTTGTTCAGCTATGACACAACCCTACTGGGTATGCGGCATCACCCCATGGGACTCGGGAGTCAAGGGTAACCTATGCAACCATGACACATGTATTAACTTTTATATTATTAATAATAAAGCACTTTGTCTCTGGCCCATGAATCTTGTGTCTTCTGCTAACGTCTATGAAAGTGTTGCAGGCATGCAAATAGGCTAAATCTCATACCCATAATACAGAAGACACAGCCAAATACAGAAAGATACGGTAAGTATGATACATACAGTAATTATGGAGCAAGTCTCAGGATATAATGTTAAAAGTTAGCTGCCTACAAGGAGTAGAGGAGCTAGAAAGAAAGAGAATGCTACCTCTCTCAGAGCATCATTGTATATAATACTTGGACTTTTAGAAGCATGTTCAAGTACAGATATTCAAATATATAACTAAATCAACAAGAACAGAAACAAAATCACCTAAAAAACTCAATGCAAACAGAAACCAATGAATGCAACTATATTTCATATGAACAACCTAACTACACCCTAGGAGGAAAAGAACTCAATTGAATCTTGAACTCTTTTTATTAAATTTATTTTTTAGAGGTAAGGTTGTACCAATATTGAAACTATGTGTTTTATGTGAATTACATGACTGAGCAAATGGGTAAATGTTGTCAAGAGTCAGGGTTCTCACTTTGAATGAAGAGAAGAACAGATATGAAATGGGGGGGGGCAAGGAAGAATTTTGTGGTTTGGATTGAAATGGAAAGCATTGTTATAACTCATAATTTCTTAAAAATACCTACCTACCTACCCACCTATTTATCTAAACTAACACTGAAAGGTCCTAGAAGTAATAAAATCCCAGAGACAAAGAGCACATCACATGTCAGGTCTTGACTTGCGAGTACTGTCTTCCTCTAAATGAAATGGTAATTTGAAGAAATGCCTGACTCCAGGAGTGGGGCAGGGGAGGTATAGAGCCTGGATCATATTGTTGTGCCAGAGTACAGGGAGCACTTAACAAAAAAAATAAATAAATAAAAATAAAAAAAGAAGATGGGGTATGTCTAAAGGACTCAGCAGCCATTCTGAAAGCACACTTCCTAGACAAATAGGGGACAATTTGAGCATCAAAGTAATACAGAAAGTAATTAATGATAACCTATTTAGTAAAATAAAAATCCACTAGTCCTTGTACACAATACAAATCAAACAAGAAAGAAGGGTAGGCTCTTCCTTAGTAGAATACTGTTTGCTAAGAATGGGGGGGCAGAAGAGGTGGAAAACTTCCATTTTGCAATTATCAGGTATAAATCATCAGTGATGATGCAGCACCAAACTTCACAAGCTCTGTCTAGAACTTCAAATAGACATAGGCTTTATGGATAGGAGACAAGTTTTTGAAAACAAAAAATAAAATGGTGCTGGGCAGTGTATTATAAGTCTATTAAGCTAAGAACAACATGCTAGACACTTCCCAAGGAAAGCTGGCAACAGAGAAATAAAGGAATGATAGAACAAAATAAATGTGAAAAAGCAAAGGCTACATAAAGAAGAAATTATTTCAGTGTGTGGAATGTTCTTCTCATTTGAGGTTTATATGACATATTTTATGAAATCAACCTACTAGAAGTTATACTTCTCACTGCATTTGGCAATACAGCCAAATCAAAGAAGGGCCGTCAGTGTTGGATGGCAAGGGCTGTGAGTATCTGCCCAGTCAGAAAGTGGTGAGTCACAAACCTAAGGAGGCCACAGCTGGGGGACAGGTTTCACGAATGCTCAACCAGTAAATGCTTGACTTCACTTCCTTCTCAGGTGGTTATGAAGAATATCACGGACTTTTCTGAATATTACTAGTACACAAAGCAACTTATATGTATGTGTATACGTGTGTGGTATAATCATGTAATCATATCATTGTTAACAATTCAGAGTTGAGTCAATTTTACTATGTTAAGTTACAGTCTTTTGTACACTTAGATAAAATGTAGTAAAATCATCTACTTCCCACTATCTGTTATATAGGCTCTCTCACCCCTAAAATGAATATATTTGAAATGAATATAAATGAATATATCTGATGTATATGACACAGATAAAAATGAAATATAACTTAGGTTCAAGAATAAGAAAGAATAATTAACAATCACTCTTGACTTTAATAAATGGCTAAGCTTCACCAAAGGTTTTTAAAATATTTTTAGTTGAAGAATTCTTTCTTCAGATCAAATCTTATTTTAAAAGTTTAAAAATTTACACAATAACTGAAAGTGAACTACTCTGCTTAAAGTGGGCGGAGGAAGTCTGGAGTGCCACCTGCTCTGAGGAGCCTTCCCGGCAGCCCCAGGCACAGCTGGAAAACCAGCGCTGCGTACGTAAGATTACAAGAAGAGTTTAAATGCAGAAAACAGTCACTGAACACGAGATCATGCTAGTAAGTACAAGAATATGAAATTTTAAAAATATAACTCATTATTATTTACTGAAAAATATGAACCAAGTATAAAGTCTTTTTAATAAATAATTTACAAGAAACCTATAAAAGGCAGCTCATTTTGACACTACGGTAGGTGTTGTTCCTTGTTATAAAGCCCCAACTGATACTGAAATTTGCTGTCTTAAGCTTTTTCATACTTCTGTCATGTCCTATATACATGTGCCACTATGAGGTGATTAATAGGGATTCAGGGTGCAATTTTTAATAAAGAGAGTAACAATGTAATTTATTTACTTCTAATCTGGACTGATCGATAGTTCACACTTTCTAACTAGATTATTATATCTTGCTTTTTAATAATTATCTTCAATTTTTAGGATCATTTTTTAAAGTACAACTTTCCCCAGTTTGCTTTAGCTAGTAAAAGGAAAACCAAAAGTCCCTTAGAACCCTTCTATTATAATAAGTCAAAATGAGGCTGCCTCTTGCTACTACTGTGCTTTTGTGGGAGAAGAACAAAAGCACATTAATAGTTAACAAAGCTACAATATGATATACGAATGAGGTCTTGCATTAAAAAAGTACTTAGAGTGTATTTACAAAAGAATCTCTCTTATTAATTATTCAACATTTGGATTTGACCAGAAACCAGAGCATGACTTTATACTGCTCTGTTTAAATGAACTACTTAATGTTGTAATGAACACTCAGTGTGGTAAGTTCAATGAATTTTGGACCTGTTATAACAGAATAGTTTTTTCTAATATTTTGATCAATGGACAGATTTTAATGTTAAGTCAGTTTGAATTTCACTTATGCTTTAAATATGTTTACTTAAACAAAAAATTTTGCATCTCAATTATTTTGTATTCTAAACTGAATGTAGTTTAAACCAATGAATTATTCATAAAGCAAAGACATTAGGAAAAACAAAGCTGTGCACTTCTTTCAAAGCTGTTAAATTGCTAAAACATACCATATTTATGCATGCAATATTTGTGTTTTTCTTAAAACACAAGCTTGTTTTTGTCAGATCAAGATACGCCAAAAACTCGACACCAAACATTTTTTTATAATTAAAGCGATCATCAATCCAAGGATTGTCATCCATTTTATTTCATCTCTACATCAAAAAAAAAAAAAAAGTAATTTAAAAAAATTTAAATTCCCTTGAAATGATAGGATAAATGAAAATGTAAGTGCCATCACATAATAACAGTAAGCTGACCCTTTGGGAAATGGTTGACTTTCTCAATACAAGGTATTCAAAGCTCATTCAAAAGTGTTCATTTAGAATGCAGATATCAAAGATGATGCAAATGTTCAAGAGAAAATTAGAACTTACCAGATGTTCTAATCCAGCTTTGATGTTTCCAGATTCCCTGAAATAGAAGAATAAAAGTTTTAAATAGTTGCTAAACCCTTGTCTAATCTTTTTACCTCAAAACTGTTTTATAAACCCTTAGAATTTTTTCATGTATTTTTACTAATGTTCAAATAACACTCTTTTTAAGGACAAAACAATTTCCATCAAAAAGGAACAGATAATTTATTTATATTTACCAGTATTACTGTTAAATTGGTATTCCACTAACAAAGAATGCTTCAGACTTTTCAAAGTCAGTACACAACAACATGAAGTCAAGTACACTATTACTTTACTGTTAATGTATCTGTTTATTTCACATTAGCTTTTCCATTAGTTTGTTTTTTCCAACATTATGAAAATGTTCAAACATACAGATTCTATCTGCCATCTAGATTCTACAATTGACATCTTACTATATTTGCTTTATCAAATATCCATCCATCAGTGGTTGTATTTTTATATAAGGAATATGCACATAAACGATACGTTCATAATTGCATAGCTAAAGAACTAAATTTTAATAAATTTTTCTTGACATTAATTTCATTAATTTAGTGCACACTACAAATCAAGACTTAAGACAATTATAATACTAAAAAAACTATCACCAAAGAAAACACAAACATCAAATATATTAATATATCTTAAGCATTTAATTTCTTGCTCTTCATTGTAAACAAAACATTGTTGATAGAATTAAAATATAAATACATGTGCAAGTAGCAAATTTAAATATACATTTGGTGAAATGTGGCAAACAGTTGCAGTTTTTTATCCTGATTTTAGTCTATACTAATTTATTAGTGATAGATGGACTTTGATTTTTCTCACTTTGATCAAGCAGTTGTTTTTAATTCCATCATGAATAACAAGGCTGATGTTTTTAAACATGAAATTATACTTCTACCATATTGCAGGGAAAAATATGGAACAGTAAACAACCCAAAACAGTATTGGATTCATGATATTTTTTGTTTTTTAATATATTTTATTGATTATGCTATTACAGTTGTCCCATTTCCCTTCATTCCCCTCCACCCTGCACGCCCCTCCCACCCACATCCCCCCCATTAGTTCATGTCCATGTGTCGTAAGTTCTTTAGCTTCTACATTTCCCGTACTATTCTTGCCCTTCCCCTGTCTATTTTCTACCTATTGTCTATGCTACTTATTCTCTGTTGCTTTTCCTCCTCTCTCTTTCTCCCATTCCCCTGCTGCTAACCCTCCATGTAATCTCCATTTCTGTGGTTCTGTTCCTGTTCTAGTTGCTTGCTTAGTTTGTTTTTGTTTTTGTTTAGGTGTGGTTGTTAATAATTGTGAGTTTGCTGTCATTTTACTACACATGTTTTTTCATCTTCTTTTTCTTACATAAGTCCCCTTAACATTTCATAAAATAAGGACTTTGTAATGATGAACTCCTTTAACTTGACCCTATCTGAAAAGCACTTTATCTGCCCTTCCATTGTAAATGAAAACTTTGCTGGATAGAGCAATCTTGGACGTAGGTCCTTGCCTTTCATAACTTGGAATACTTCTTTCCAGCCCCTTCTTGCCTGTAAGATCTCTTTTGAGAAATCAGCTGACAGTCTGATGGGCACTCCTTTGTAGGTAACTGTCTCCTTATCTCTTGCTGCTTCTAGGATTCTCTCCTTCATTTTTACCTTGGCTAAAGTAATTATAATGTGCCTTGGTGTATTTCCTCCTTGTGTCCAACTTCTTTGGGACTCTCTGAGCTTCCTGGAAGTCTTTTTGCCAGAATGGGGAAATTCTCCTTTATTATTTGTTCAAAGAAGTTTTCCACTGGTTGCTCTCCTTCTCCTTCTGGTACCCTTATAATTCTGATGTTGGAATGTTTAAAGATGTCCTGGAGGTTCCTAAGCCTCTCCTCATTTTTTTGAATTCTTGTTTCTTCATTCTTTTCTGGTTGTATGTTTTTTTTCCTCCTTCTGGTCCACTCCATTGATGTGGGACCCAGGTTTCATTTCATCACTATTGGTTCCCTGTGCATTTTCCTTCATTTCACTTATTGTAGCCTGCATTTGTTCATCTAATTTGGGACCAAAATCAACCAGTTCTGTGAGCATCCTGATCACCAGTGCTTTGAACTGTGCATCTGATAGGCTGGCTATTTCTCGGTCACTTAAAAAAAACTAACTGCAGGGCTTTTAATTCTGTTTGAGCCTTCTCCCTGCCCCTCCTTGGTCTGGTAGCACCTGAGGGGAGGAGGGGTGGAGCCTTAGGTGTTCACCAGGGTGGGGCACCCCAGTCACTGGGTTGTGACGTATGTGGGGGCGGGGTCCAAGAGGGAACAATGGCGTTTGCTCTGCGCTCCGTGGAACCTCAGTCCCTTCCGCTGCTTCCCCAGAGCAAACTGGGGGCCCTCTGGTGCCAATTCCCATATGGGTGGGCTTGTGCACCCCGTGGAACTTTCCAATGACCTCTCCTGTGAGGCTGGAGTTTCTCCCACTGCCTCCTCAACCCCCACAGTTGTTTTCAATCAGTGCCCTGAGGCTCTATTTCCCAGCGCTGTGATCCTGGGTTGCCACACAGTGCCTTGCTTCACAATTGCCGCCTCGCTGGGTCTGCCAGCTGCCGCTTGCGCGCTCAGGTTCCACCTGCCTTGGTCTTGTGCACCCTGGATGCCTTACGTGGCTGGTCCCAATGCTCTCTGCTCTCGGAGCTGCGAGCCACACCCAGCTGCCTGACTCCGCCCCTCCTACTGGTCTGGATGAACGTGTCTATTTTAACTTCTTAGTTGTCCCACTTCCATTCAGATCAATTTTCTGTCAGTTCTGGTTGTTATTCTGTTTCTAAATTTTTGTTGTCTCTATCTTGGCTGTGCGAGGAGGCACCGTGTGTCTACCTATGCCTCCATCTTGGCTGGAAGTCGAATTCATGATGTTTTAATTTTTTTCCTCACACCTCTTTCTTTCACTGAAGGGTCTTTTATTTCTTTTCTCTTTATTTCTGTCTCCATGTTTCATTGCCAAAAATATACTTCTGTGTTTCATTTGTCTTGCTATACATACAATCTTTCCAAATTTCCCTATCTTTTTTTCCCTTTGAATCCACTGCCTGAAAACCAAACTCATGGCTTCAACCGCTCTCACTGCCCAGTGTGACATACTGGGAACAAATTCCAAAGTCCACTGATTAAGCAAAGCACTCATATTTAGCCATTCTCTTCTCTTTCTGCTTCTGGCCATCTTAGCAATACTATGTGTACTCAACATTTAAAAGTGTTAAGAATTTCTGAAACTCATTCTCTGGATGCAGTCGTAATGACAAATGATAGGAATAAATTGCAACAAGGTGTCAGGAAAAGCTAATCGCTACATAAATAATTATTTTGAACTTTATTATTACAAAGTTAGTGGATTTATTGAATCTGAAAGGCAAATGGATCTTTATGTTTTCACAAGGACATTCTTATATGATTATTTGTGTAATTTGAAATCTAAACAAAAAGAACAACATATATAGTGAAGCATCTGACAGTGCAATATATATGTGTGCACAACAATAAAATTAAGTCTTCCTCCTATCACTGACTCCCAGTTCTCAATCACTAATATTAGCTCTTTGTCCTTCTAAAGATATTCTGCTTCTGTGTGTACGTGTGTATGTGCATGTGTGGGTATATTTCTGTCTCCTGTTTTTTAAAATCCAAACAGAAGTAAGTATACTATACACATTGTTTTGTAGCTTCACTTGACGATCTATCTTAGAGTTTGCTCTATCACACTGTCACATAATGATTCTTATTAGGAATTAATATGGCAGTATAAAAAACAAAAAATGTTCAGATTCCAAGTACAAATCCATAATTAATTATGTGAAACCATTGGGCTAGACTAGCTTCATCAGAATATTTTGGTATAATATGTCATGTAACACTGACAGCGTGGCTTGAAGCAGCATCCCATCATACACATTAATAATTCTAAAAGAAACATATGAACGTCGCCACAAAGTGGGACAAAGTCTCTAAGTAATTTCATTTTAGGGTCGGTTTTGCTGTCAACTGAGTTTGTCATAATGTTAGGGAAAATCTCTTAATACTTTGAGCTGTTTGCATTTTGGAATCAAGGATAAGAACCTATTCCTAAAGAGGGGGAGGAGAAAGGAAGGAGAAAGGAGTGACTGACTAGGCTATTACATTGTTATGATTCTTTAAAGTAAGTGACATTTAGGAAATACACTTTTAGAATGGTATGCCTAAAAGAAAACTAGGCATCATCTTTGACACAGCCCTCTCCCCCTCACTACCAGACAAAGACATTCAACCGCAAGGTCTTGACTATCACTTAGTTATCATTTAGATTTAATCACTCTTATCTTCACAAGCACTAGCTGTTTTAGGCCTTTTCTTTTCTCTTCCAGATTACTAGAAGAGATTGCTGGCCTCACCTTTTTTCTCCCATATTTCCACAGAGCCTCCTAATGCTTAAAAACCGCTCCTACCTTGTACCACCTCAATTCATTCTGTACAATACAGAAAAATTGTTCTAAAATATAAACTTGATCATATTAATTCCCTTCTTAAAGTCAGCAATATCCTTTCTACTATTCTCCCATTTACTCATTCCCTCTATCTTTCCAAAGCTTTATCACATGGGAAGTGATGGCAACAGTCACAAAAAAAAATTACTAACTTGGCTCCTCCCACTACTGAACCACTTGATCTACCAGAAATGCCCCTTTTCTCCCAGTCTCTAATTCTACTGATCTAGTTTTAAACAACAACAAAAAATCCTTCAGGACTTAACTTACACCATAACTCTACTGGGGAAACCTTCTCTCTTACTCAGAAATGAAATAATGAGCTCTTTCGATGTGTTCCCACCCACAGACTTTTTAAATTTTATTTTAATTGTTGTTCAAGTACAGTTTTCTGTCCTTTACCCACCCACCCATCCCTCCCCACACCCCCCATTTTCACCCCCTCCCCTAATTTTTGTCCATGTGTTCTTTATATTTGTTCCTATAAACCCTTCCCATTCTCCCCTGAAA